GTGTCATAATCATAATTTTTTTTGCCTCAGCCCCAACAATGTTGGGGCTGAGGTGATCTAGTTTCCCAAATTGTGAAAGTCCCTTCCTGTTCCCCCTCTATTTTGCTTCCCTGGAGCCGCCACTGATAATTATAATTAAGTAAATTACCTTTATGTTTTTGAAATCAAAATGCTAACTAATGTTTTGTGTGCTCCTATTACTTGATCGTAAAATAGACGGTAGTATTTCCACTCACAATAGTGTAGTCGCAATACTACTTGCACAAAAGTGAAATTCAAAAAGAGGAGAAAAGGAAAACCCTCTTGATTAATCTTAAAATTACTGTGCAAAGAGACTAAAATTAGGGACTGTTTTAAGTTTATCTTATTTGTTTTCCATGGCTCGAATACGTCACAAGCCAATCGGTAGATAATAAATCAATATTTATATGAATGTTAATTTGCACGAAATATATAAGTGGGCATAATTATGATTACCAGAATATTTTTAAAAATTTTTTATGATGATTTTAGTGGCAGATTCAAGGTGCCCAGCCGGCCCACCCTCCCAATTTTGTTTTTCAAAATTTGAAAGTGGAATAAAATTAAAATTATATCCAAATTTAGTCTGAGAGTGCCATTGCTGGCCAACTACAGGTTCCATAATCATAAATTGTCTTACTTCAGCCCCAACAATGGTGGGGCTGAGGTGGTCTACACTCTCCATCTAGAGTGGAGTTGAATAGCTTGGTGGTTAAGATGCTTGCCTTCCAATCCCAGGGTCCTGGGTTCAATTCCTGCCAGTTGCAGGATTTTTTTCTCACGACCAAAACAACTCCACTCCCTAAATCTCATATTGAGATTTAGTTTGTGTAAAGCATTGTGTGTGTATGTTTGTCTTGTGTAAGGGATTGTCACCTACAAGTAGGATAGTGATATATTCGCTATTGACAATCCTTGGAACATGTATTGTGTGCCTATAAAAAGAACAAAAGAAAAAAAAAGAAAAAGAAAAGTCCCTTCCTGGCCCAGCTCTATTTCAAATTCCTGGATTCGACACTGTATGTTATAAATCTAGTGTGGAAATAAATGTTAATTACATTCCTTAAAATCAATTAGATACGACTTATAAAAGGCTATAGGCGCCAGAGTTCTGGAAACTTCGCCCCCGGACCCTCACCGGGCCTCTAGCAGACCCTTCACTATTATTTTGAAGGAGTTATTTTAACTCCAAAGGAGTTATTCTGTACCTAAAAAAAGGTACAGAATAACTCCTTTCGAGTTAAAATAACTCCTTCAAAATAACAGTGTTGGCCCCCAACCAATTTCTCTCCCTCCACCCCACTTTCAACCACGGATCGACGCCCTTGTATATAACGCAGTGTAGGTTGAAAAGACAAAAGTGCTCAATGCAGAAGCAGAGCAATATAAAATCAACAACAAGGTGACGCTTAGTTAATAATTAAACATTTTATTGCACTACAGGCTGTTTTATGAGGTACTTCCTCCAGGGAGATGTGAAAAATAAAATATTTTTTACATGTCCCTGCTTCCTCAATCATGCTAGGCTCATCTATCTATATCTATATCTATATCTATATATCTATATATCTATATATATATATATATATATATATATATCTATATATCTATCTATCTATCTATCTATCTATCTATCTATCTATCTATCTATCTATCTATCTATCTATCTATCTATCTATCTATCTATATATATATATATATAGTACATATAAACAGCCAAATTAAATTCAGCTATAGTAAAAATAATAAATTAATGCTAGATTACACAGAACGTCAACAACCATTTATTATGCTTCAATATCGATCCTATTTAAGCATATAGCATAAATGCAAAACCTATTAACTCACGTTCTAGCAGCTCTTCCTGTCACAAGTGAACCAAGACATTTGACGTTAATGTTGCTGTACAGTTTTTTACCTCCCTGGTTTTTCTCAACCTGTAGGCCTAAACAATCGACTACTACCATAACAACGCTTTTAATAATGAGGGCGTAACAAGATTTCGCACCGCGAATGTGTACATACTCGTTTTGCTGACATGTGACACCCATTAGCTCAACCCGCCCTCGATAAACCATGGATAAACTAACGTTACGATCTCACTATTGGATTAACACATTACACTGGTGTCCTTGGATTCAATTATGGGTAAACGGATTAGTTGCCTTTTTTATGAGGTTTTAATCGTTCTTTACCGCCGAAAGTGTGGTATTATAACCTTAGTTTAAGGAGGACTGGTCGGCCTAAATGTCAAACGCATCGTTTAGTGGGGTATTAAGGACACCAGTTGTGTGGTTTTGAATATTAATGATGAGTTGCGAATGACAGCAAATTAATATCCAAACTAGGTTGTCCTCATTAATATTCATATTAACACATAATGCCCATAAAAGGCTTACCATTGTCTGGGGGAAATTTATAGCTATTACAACAAAATATGGTTTCTGTTTTGTTTTCATAAAACATAAAAGATCAATCCTTCATGGACGGTGCATTTCACATAAAACACTTGTATCAGTAGCACACACCATCTGGTGGTGCATCCCAATAACAAACAACATTTTACAAAATACCGTCTCGATTTTTTTATTATAATATTTTTTGGGGGGAGGGAGGGGGGTCACCCGGCGCACCCTGAGGTACGCCACTGCTGATATGCCCCATTGCTTTTTGTTACGCACTACTTATACAAACCACTCTTCTAACAGAGAATTGACATTACGTCCAATGGAAGACACCCAAGTTAGAACAATGGAATTCTTGGTTTTCAACTCACGAATATCCTAAGTGGACTCACATGACAAAATTTACTTTATACGATATGAATTCCCGAACCACAGCCGGGCTTTATTACAAACAGAAATTTGAATAGTCCGAAATAATAATAATAATAATTCGAATAAAATCATGAAAGCTAAGCTACGGTATTTTCTATATTTTACTGTGAAGGAAGGGTACTTGGCCACGTCGTCACACTCGTCCATTACTGTGCCCCCCCCCCCCCACCGANNCTTTCTCGCCCCCTGAGCCCTGTGCCTCATATTTACACTTGTCTTGTTATATTATGTGAGGGTGTGTTATGAGATGTTTCCAATGCACCAAGAACTAGCATTGTTCCATGCATGTGCATTTATGTGTTTTTGCTTAAAACACTTAAGTGCACAATTTCACGATTTGGTTTTTATCCCCTGAATAGGGATACCCCTTCTAAGGGGAACACTATTTTAGTCTTAATAGGGGTTGTACTGTATAGCAAAGTAACAACAGTAGGGGGCCTATATTTGAAACAAACTTACAGTATTAAAGAATATAAGCATTTTTTTTTCAATTTTGTTTTTATGATTTGTTGATTTCCATCATTTTTATCTGACTGGGTTGATTCCGACATTGTTTGTTAGCACCTTTAGGAATTGGAATGTTTTGATTTGATACGGTACTCCTCACTAATGTATCAGGCATAAAGCGTATGCCCCTAAAGTGTATACAAATAATAATGAGCTGAGGATGACACCACAAAAAAACAGTACATTTTTTCTGTGTATTTCGAAACACACTATTCAGCAAACGGCACACTAAAATAATAGTACACTGCTGGCGCATAGCGATGTTTATCAAGATCCCCGATTCATAAATCGGATGACAATCAGCCAAATATTGACAATTGAAGACAATAGCCAACATTTTATCGAGTTAAAAATTTTACTTTATATGAAAATATAAATTTTTAATATAAACATTATTTATTTTTGAATTAGATTTTTTTGTAGTGATATCAATAACTATTTTGTGAAATATAAATGATTTAAAAGACGGGTTTAAATTAATTTATAACTGTGACTAGTTCATCTGTCCCTACCTTTGCAATGATTAGTAGGCCTAGAGGCTGAAACCAGGCCTAACCTTAAAACGATAGTTATATTAGCCAGAAAAATATCCGTGCGAGGTCCGTGTATTTACACGGAAGTTAAATGCCGTGCGTGGCTCGAACGGGGGTAAGATGTAAAAAACATCTGGAACACGCTCGCCTATTTTGACCACCAAATTTAGGGTTATAGAAACGTGTATCGCTGTCAAGGCCATTATCGCGACCATTAATCATGTTTTAATGACTCTACCGTCTGGCGGTCAACATGAATTCAATTCAACACGCGCGAAAACCATAGGCCTGTCCTCTTATACACATCTAGATGTGTATAAGAGACAGCCATAGGCCTGTCCAGTTTTACAAAAACAAATGCATTCGCTGACCTGTTGTTAATGTTATAGCATCATCTTCATCATTTCAACATGTCTGTGTGGACCGAACCTATGATACGTTACCTTCTCTCATTGTGGGGGGGAAGACAGAATACAAAGACAACTGGACGGCACCCGCCGAAACAGCGGTATTTAGAAAGAATAACTGCAAAGATCGAAGAAAAATTTAGGGGAAAGCTGACGGTGACACAGGTCACCAATAAACTGAAGTATTTGCGCAGGGAGTACAGTACAAGTGCGTGAAGCGTGGTTAGAAACGTAAATATTGCGTGGCATGATGGGATATACTACGGTATTGCCTCGCTGACCTCAAACGAGTATTTCCGAGGTAAATTTTTACACGGTTAGACAAGATAAGTTTGAGCTCGAATGCGGGGACCCCCCGTGGTGTAAAGCCGTGCGTTTACCTGTCATATACACGGAATTTAATAG